AAACAGCGCGCTCATGCGCCCGAATACGGAAACACTCGATAATCCTAAACAAAACCGTTAAAATTCAAAAAAAAAAAAAAAAAAAAAAAGAATTTATTTTTTTGTTTACAAAAAAAAAAAAAAGTTTTTAATTAAGCGACAGAAAATTTTTAATTAAACATGGCGACATTATCATCAATATTATTATTATTATTATTATTATTTAAGATAAATTTTAAATGATTCTAGAAATTTTTTCTTTTGTGTTATAATAATAATAATAATGATAAAAAACCGTATTGTTATTGTTGTTATTTATAAAAAGGAGTAAAGTTAGTTTGTGTGTGTGTTTTTATAACAAACGATGAAAAACTTTAATAATACGTATAAAAAAAAGAAAATCTCTCTTGTCGGATAATAATAATAATAATAATAATATCCTTTTTGTTTGTTTGTTTGTTTTATTTTAATATAAATTTTTCCCTTTTCTCATGAATGTATTTATATATATTTATTTATTTAATCTGTTTTTCTTTTTTTTTTGTCACAAGAAAATGGTTTTTGTATGAAATCGTGTATATATATATATATATATTTACGATTTGAAAAATGAATGTTTAAATAAAGAAAAACGGGGGGGAACGAGTGGGGGGAAAAACGGGAAAAAAAACATTAAATTGAAAAAAAAAAAGAAAAAAGTTGATGTTTTTCTAACGGTTGCCATCTCCGTCCGTCAATCTAAAAGGTTTTTAGTGGAAAAAAAAGTGATGTGGGGTAGAAGGAAAAAAGAATTAGAGAGAGTGATTTAAAAAAAAAAAAGAAAAGTTTTTGCAAAAAAAGAAAAGAAAAACCTCAGAATAATTTTAAATAAAAAAAAAGAGAAACGACTTTAAATAATATGTAAGGTAAATTTCATTTTCTCTCTCTTTCTCTTTCTCTCTCTCTTTTTTAAATAATTTAAAAGTTTTCTATTTTACATTTTACGCGTAACGTTTAATAATAATAATGATAATAATAATAAACTCGTTTGTTGTTGTTGTTGATTATCGTCCAATTAAAAAAATAAATTTTTATTATTATATAAAAAATGATTATTAAAATAAATAAAAAAAATCTGGGATAATTGTCGACAGTTTGTGTTTAAGATTGCGACAAAAAACACTTCCGTTTAATTTTATATAATAATAATAATAATGATATTTTTGTACGTAACATTTCACACAAGTTATTTTCATACAAGTATGAAAATGACGAATTTTTTTTTTTTTTTTACAAATTTTTATCGAAAAAATTTTTTTATTCGTTAATTTTTTTTATCTTGTTTTTAATTAATGATAATAATAATAATTTACACGGTGCGTGCGTGCATACGTGCGTGTGACGAATTAAAATTTTTTTTTCTTTTTTTTATCCGCCATTTTGTATTCCGAAATAAACAAAAAAAAAAAAATGATATTTCGTTACATAAATTGATGAACGAAAACCGGTTTTTGTTTTTTTTTTTTTTTTTTTTTTTTTTTTTTAAAAAAAATGTTTCAGCCATGACCCAAATTTCGAGAATTGAAATTTTGAAATAATAATAATAATAATAATAATAATAATAATAATAATGATAATTTTGATATTGCAATAATATTCGTTAAAAAAAATTATTACAACTGTAACGTAACGATAATATTAATAATAATAAGTAATAATGTAATTTTTTCCCAAAACCGGAAATCTATCAATCGTACTTCGTTCCCTTTTATTATTATTATTATTATTATTATTATTATTATTATTATTATTATTATTATTATTTTAAATTCGCGGGGGGGGGGTTAGCAAAAAAAACAAAAATAATAATAATAATAGTGATTATTACGAAACGAATTTTTTGTTTTTTAATTTATTGAAAATAAAGAAATAATAATAGATGTAAAATGTCGTGTCAAAAGAAAAAAAAATCCCGGTTTTTTTTTTGTTTTAAATTACAATTTTATTACGATTAAAAAATATTTTCTCTCTCTCTCTCTCTCTCTCTCTCTCTCTCTTTCTCTCTCTGTCTCTCTCTCTCTTTTGACGCTTCTCAAATTTCTCAAAGTTATACAAAAAAAAAATCAAAAAGTTTCCCAAAGGACATTTTTTTTTTTGTTCTTTTTTTTTTTTACTTTATTCCTTTAATTAATTAATTAAATTTTATAAATTAATTATATTTTATTTAACAAAGGAATGACAAAAAAAAAGAAGAGAGATTGAAGAGAGAGAGAGAGAGAGATAGAAAAAAAAAATTTATCAGATTATTATAATTGGATTAGAGTTTCGGTAATAAAAGGACGTGGCAGTAGTAAAAAAAAATTTTTTTTTGTTAGCTGACCATTTAATTGACATTTTTTTTTTCTGCTTCATGACAGTTAAAAAAAAAAAGTAAATTATTGGGAAAAAGCAAAACAAAATCGTGTGTGTGCGTGTGTGACCCAAATTTATTCTTTTCTTTTTTTACGTAATCAAAATGGCGGCAAGTGTGATAAAATTTAACGAATTTTTATACATTTTCTCGTAACAATCATCATCATTATTATTTTAATGAATGAATGAATGATATAATTTTTCTAGTGTTGGATGCATCAACAAAAGTACCTGATGGAATATTGGCCGGAAATACATTTCAATTGGGACATTTTGACGAATGCATTTCCGTTGGCGTCACACTTCCGGATGAAAATCGAAAACTCAAAGGACAATATTGTTTAGCAGAAATAGAATATTCTCCAAAAGGTGAAATCGATGTTTCGATCGATCGAAATTCAAACGATATTGATTTGTTTAACACTTCCGTTTGGTCTCACATAAAAGTACGTTAAATAAAAACGAAAAGTAAACAATATTTTATATTAAATTTGATTTCCGCCATTTTGTTTTTCTCTTTTTCAAGTCGTTTAATTTAGATCGTACGAAAACGAGAAGAGATGAAATTTATTGGGCTATTTGCGTACCAGATTCTTGTACACCGGAAGATGTTAAAATTTCAATGGAAGAAGCATTGAAAAAAACAAATGGAAAAAATTCAATGGATATTGACGTCAGAGTTAAAGTCAACGATAAATTTTGTCAAGTTGGTACGGATAAATTTGATTTTTCATGGATTCGAATTCCTCAACTTGTCATGGGGTAAGTCTTTTTTTTCAAATTACTTTTATTTGTAGGGCAAGTCAAAAAACAAAATCCTGGAGTAACGGGAACGGGGGACGGGGGGGAAAGGAAAACAAACAAAAAAAATTTTTTTTTTTTAAAACGTTTTCGTTTTGTTTGTTGTTACTGTCATGGCGGCCGGCGGATACTACAAAATGTGAATTTAAAATTTTTTTTTTCCATAATCGAATAAACGAATTTTTTTTAAGTTTCCGGTTATAACAAAAAAAACGTTGATTTGTTTATTACGTTTCATTCGTAATTATCCGCCATTGTTATCGTTTTCGTTTTCTTTTCAAAAAAAAAAAAAAAAAAAACTTTCAAAATATTTTAATTTTAAATATGTAAATTTATTCAACTCTTTTTTCCGTTTTTTTTACTTTAATTACACAAAATAATGAAAAATCGTTGTCGTTTGCCGTCGTTTGTTGTTGTTTGATGTCGTTTGCTGTCGGTTTGCCGCCTCGAAATCAATTTTTTCCGTTACGCAGTTTTGCGCCATCATTATCCTTGTCATCGTCATAATTTTTTTTTTACGCGGTTTTTTTTTTTTTTAAATTTTTCTGACGTTTGACGTGGAAGAAGAAAAAAATAAAAAATTCCCCTTCCGGTCGGAAAAATTTCCGACGGTTTTATTTATTTTTTTAAAAGAAAATTTAAAATTAAAATTTATTTACTTTTTTTTTTTTTTGAAATATTTAAAACGATTATATTAGTTATGATATATATTAATAAATTATTACTTTCAGTTGATAAAATTTGATAAAGATAAAGGTAAAGGTAAAGGCAAAAAAAAAACATGGAACCCAAATGAAAATTTTAATAATAATAATAATAATAAAGTTTTCATTATAAAAGGGAAAATTTTAAAGGAGTTATCATTTTCACCACGAAATTTCCTTTTTTTTTTTTTTTTTTAAAGTCTATTTCTCTCATTTATTTTAATTACATTTATTGATTTAAATAATTTATTAAAATAAAATAGAAATTTTTTAGAAAAAAAAAAAAAATTAGTCGTTGCCAACTTGATAAAAATAAAATCAATGTAAAAATGAGAAAATTTTTAACGACGTAAAATTATTATTAAATATTTTGTTTACAAATGGATTTACATGAAATGAAAATTGCGAATATTTTTCTTCTGCTTTTTCTTCTGCTTTTTTTTCTTGAGAAATTTAAATAATTCCACGACTGTTTTTTATTTTCCATAGAATATTTAAACATTTAAATAATCAATTAAGTTTCGAATCTCATTTTTTTTTTTTTAATTCTTTTCTGTTTTTTCTGGAATGGCTTCTCCAGACCAACTGGAAAAGTTTAAATAGAATAATGGACGTTTAGGAACCGTTATTTTATTATTATTATTATTATCACGAATTATTTAATAATCGTTGGAGAGATCAGATGCTCTTTTGCGATAGGTAATTGAACAGAAAAAAAAACCGTTTTAATGAAATAAAAAAGTAATAATATTAATAATAATAATAATAATAATAATAATAATAATAATAATAATAATAATAAAAATAATAATAATAATAATAAACAATTTGAAATTTTAAACGAGACCCAAAGAGAGAGAAAGAGAGAAAGAGATAGACGGCTTGAACCCTTTTTCTCTCTTTCTCTCTCTCATTTTAAATTTAATTAAAACTTAAATAAAAAATTTTTTAATTGAAATTATTATTATCATTATCATTATTATTATTATCATTTTATTTCAATTTACCTTTCGGAAAGTGAATAATAATAATAATAAAATTATTACGGGAAACTAATTATAATATTATTTTTTTTTTTTTTTTTCAGTGGCGTAATTGGTGGGTTTGCATTAATGGTTTTCTTATCGACCGCATACGATATATTACCGATAAAAGAAGAAAATAGGGTCAAAGGTAAATTAATAATAATAATAATAATATTTATTTTTATTTTACATCTGGAAAATTTTAATCTCGCGATCGGTTACGGTTAATCGATTCGGTAACGGTTGCGTGAAAATTTAAATGACGCGTAATAAAAAAAAATGGCGGGTTAAAAAATTGTAAAATTTTTTTTCTGTTTGAATTTTTCCAGGAGGTTTGGAAAAATTTTTAAATTGTTTTTCCGCTAAAAGTAATTTTAAAAGTTTACGAAGTGTTAATAAATCCAAAGATATAATACCGATACACACGGCGAGATTTATGAGCATGATTGTTATATTGATGGGTCATAGATTTATAGCAAATTCTGGAGCTCCGATGCACAACGCCATTTTTATGGAAAACGTAATTATTATTATTATTATTACGGCTACTGGAATTTCATTTCCGTTCGAATAAATTTTTTTTCTTTTTAATAGGCCGTCGGAAATCCACTTTTCATTCATCTTTTAATGAGTCCCGTTTTAGTCGTTGATACGTTTTTCCTATTGAGTGGATTTTTAACCGGAAATCAAATGTTGAAAGATTTCGATTCGAAAAAATTTAAATTAATTAGCGGATACGTACACAGGTATATAAGGTACGATCGAATATTTTTTTTTTCTTCTCTTTCTACAAAACTTTTACCCCCTTCCTCCCCCTCGATTTCCGGCTTTTTACTTAACTTATTTGTTTTGTTTTTCAGATTAACTCCGGTTTACATACTCGTTGTTGGATTTTATGCAACCATTTTATATCATTTAGGTTCTGGACCGTTATGGAAAGCGAGAGTTAGTTTGGAACAAGATCGTTGCGCAAAAAATTGGTGGACAAATCTTTTATACGTAAATAATTACGTAAACACACAAGATCTGGTTAGCCTTATCATTATCATCATCATCATCATTATTATTTAAATTTATTAAATTTCTAAAAAACGCCATTTTGTTTTTTTTTTCTCTCTCCTTTCAGTGCATGTTTCAATCGTGGCACTTGACTTGCGATTTTCATTTTTACCTCGTCGCACCTCCTATCGTTTATATTCTATGGAAAAAATCGTTATTTGGATTTTCATTAATTGGAATTTTAATAGCATCCGTTTCCGCTACGCTTTTCGCATTGACATTTACTAATTATTTAGATCCCGTTTTGATGTCTTTCAATTCGTACGTCCATCTTTACTCATTTGTATATTTCGATTACGAAAAACGATAAATTTATTATTATTATTATTTTTTTTTTTTTCTAGAGTTTTAGTCGATTTGAATTCGGATCCGACATTTAGAATCACGTACATACCAACACACACGAGATTCATACCATATCTCGTCGGAATAATAGCATCTTATATTTATTATAAAAAAAAATTACACATTCAACTCTCTTACAAACATCAAATGATATCATCCATATTGATACTCGTACTATCACACGTTCCCATATTCACCGCCATTTTGTTTTACACACCCGGTTACGAATACGACAGGACTCTCGCATCCGTTTACGCAGCTTTACATCGGATACCCTGGTCCATAGCGATGGCATCACTCATTTTAATGGGTGCCACGAATAACGGTGGCCTCATACAACCCATACTCTCTTGGAAAGCTTTCGTACCTTTGAGCAGGTTGACCTACTGCGTATTTTTATCACACGGAGCCATACAACTTTATTCTACGTCATCATTAAGAACTCCAGATTATAATAGTAAATTTAAAATCGTGAGTCTTATCGTTATCACTCATTCATTAATAATAATAATAATAATTGTAGTTTATTAATTAATTAATTTTTTTTTTGCATAGCTTTGGACGTTAATGGGTGACATATTAATAACATACGTCATATCATTATTTATGCATTTGATATTGGAAGCACCGATATTAAAATTAGATAGAAATTATTTTACATCGAGTAAGTTTTATTATTATCATTATTATTTTTCTCTCCCTGTTGATTGTTAATAATAAGTAATAATAATAATAATGTTCACAGGTCAAAAATCAAACGATGAAAAACAATCTAATAAAACAATAGAAATGAACGGTGAAGAAAATAAAGGTTTTTCAAGTGATAGCTTATCAAATTTACAAGTCATATCGAATGATCGATTGCATTTTACAATAACCGAACCACACGAAAAATATTCCGATAAATACGAAAAATATTTAAATAAAGAAAAAGAAAAAGAAAAAGAAAGGAAGAAAACGGAAAATAACGGAAACTAACGGAAACTAACGGAAACGGAAACGGAAACGGAAACGTTAACGAAACGAGTTCAAGTTCGATCTAACGAACGATTTTATCGTTATTATTATTTTTTTTTTTTTTTAGTTTAATTATTATTATTATTAATATTTTTTTTGTTGTACATAAATCGGAAGTGCGTGTGTGTGCGTGCGTGCGTGTGTAATTATTTCGTATGAGTTTCATACGGGTTTTTTTTTTTTTTTTAAAATATTATTATTATTTTTTTAGTCATTGATATTGTGATTTTTTTTTTAAAAATAGTTAATATTATTATTATTATAAATGTCGGTGGTGATTAGAATTATTGGCCAATGTCATGTCGTCGATAATTGTAAGTAATAACAAAACAAAAAAAAAAAAAATTATAAATTATAATTTTTTTAAAAAAAATTTATTTATTTATTTTCTTCACTTCACTTTTCTTTCCTTTTAACAATTTTTTTTTTTTTTTTTACCCGTCACGGATGTAAAATTTACAATTCATTGATAAAAAAAAAAAAAAATTAAATTTAAATTAAAATATTAAATTTTTAAAATAAATATGTCAAAATCCCTTAACTTGTCATCTTATTTTAATGAATGATACAAATTCTTCTTCATCATTTTTACCGGATTTATTAATTTATTATATATATATA